AGAAACTAATACACTTTAAAACACTTTTTTTTCATTTTTTCTTTTTTTATTGTATTTATCTAAATGTAAACTCCAAATTTAACATTTCTGACTGATCCTTCGCTCATAGGTGTTTTTTCGTATTTTGGTTGACAGGTCAGAATGATTAGGTTTCAGGTTTCTTTTTTCCAAACAATTAAAACATGAAAAAATGTAACTGGCCTGTTTCTGTGTTCTGTGTTACTGTAACTACAAAGGCAAAAAAAAAAAAGCCAGCAACGAGCAAAAGCAGAAGCGCAGAGATGAAGAGAGCCAAATAAAGGGGGAAACTGAACTTAAGAGAGAAAAAAACCCATAACAGGGCTCTTGGAGCACAACACTTAAATTGCCTCTCAGCGGTCTTACGGCCTGAAAGGAGGTGGCGTCTGTTGGAAAGGCATTCGACGGCTCCTCTTCACCCGGCTCCTTGTTGCACATCATCGCGCGACGAGAGCCGCAAGTTGTTCAAACGACCTTTGAGAAAAATGGGCCTCGAAAGTCGCACAGAACAACGCTGACTGTTCACTTCAAGATTTGCTCAAGTCTCGCAAGATTGGCTGGCCTGACAACAACTGCTGAAGTCACAAATGACTTAATGTCGCGCAAATTGGAGTCCAATTGAACATTCTCGAAAGAAAAAAAAAAAAACTCACCGATCAGGTGGCATAGATGAGCCTTCTAAGACTTGAGGAAATTTCGCGAGATTTGTCGGAGATTTTCCGACGTTTTCAATGTCCCTGAAGTCGGACAAAGCAAGAGTTCGATAGACCATGAAAAATATTCATCTAATGTCGCACAGGACTTCACTGATCAACCCTTTCAAGCCATGTTGAAGTCTCGCAAGATTAGCTGAATGATGAAGTCTCACGAGATTTGCAGAAGTTTGTAAAAAAAAAAAAAAACAAAAAAAAAAACAAAGCCGTACAAATCGGAGTTCAACTGAAATTTTTGAGAACGGGACGCTTCTACACTCACACAGAACTTCATTGCTAGAACCTTTCAAATTTTGCAGATTCGCTCAAGTAGTGAATACCCACAAAGTCAAAAAAAAAATCACAAGAGTTGCTCAAAAAATTGATTACAGTCTCAAAATCCCCTGAAATCCGATGAATTTGAGTTCAACTAAAACAGGTCTTGGAAAAATATGTCGACTAAGTCAGGAACTTCACTCATTTGCCTTCAAGCAGAAGTCTCCCAAGATGTATGGAAATCTCGGATTCCCCAAAAGTCTTCCCAATCAGAGTTCAACCTCCAAAACGACAGCATGAAAATGTTAACGGTTTATTGATACAGTCGCTCTGTCACGCAAAACATGCCGTCTGGAGCCCGGACCGGCGCTGATGGGAAGTCTTTGCCTCTTGATCCAGGCGCTCATTTGGCAGCGGAGCAAAGTAGTAAATGAAGAGCTTTGTCGGAAGGGGAGGAGGATGGTGGCTCGCAAGAGTGGAGAAAGACGAACACTCTGGCTCCGGCTCCATTTAAACTATGAGCGTCTTTATGGCCTTTCGGGCTTCAGGCCACTGCCGTCCATTTGTACGCTCCGTGACTGTCCATTTGATCAGCCTTTGTCCTGTACGCTCTGGGCTGGTCAGCTCATGTTTGAAAAAGCTGTTTAGCCACTCGAGTGTAAAAACAACCCGAGTGGTGTTGTGCTGAATAGTACAGTAAATGCAAGGAAGAGTTTAAAAAAAAAAGGAAATGTATAGCTAGAAGGCTATGAGGCTGAAAGAGCATGCTGGCGCATTTTGGCTGCCGCTTCTCCTTCTGAAATTTTTGTTGTGAGTGTTTTTTTTTTTTTTTTTTAATGGTTTACTTTCTTCAGGATTAATAGCCATACCTTGGCCAGAGGTAGAAGCTGGCCAAACTTTCACTTTTGTGTCACTCAGACTGCCACGTTTTTTTTTTGTGCTAGCTAGCTAGCACAAAAGCTAGCTAGCTAGCTCCGTCAAGTCGCCAGCTAGCGCTTGCAAGAGCCCGCCCTGATGGCTTAGGCAGACGACTCTCTACAGCACAGGTGTCAAAATCAAGGCCTGGGGGCCAGATCTGGCCCGCCACATCATTTCATGTGGCCCACGAAAGCAAATCAAGCATGTCAAGTTCCATGATGCTTGCAAAAGTCTGAACCAAAATTTCAAATTGTCACATGTAATCCACAATAACAGTCATTATTCTTGACTTCTGATTTTAAAACTAGTTATCCATCAATTTGTTGTGCGCTGTGTATGTTATATGTGCAGGTGATACAACATTTCTATGGTTTCCCAAAATTCATAACTTCACACCAAGGGAAACCGTAACTACAATGTGGCCCGCGACAAAAATGAATTTGACACCCCCTGCTCTACAGTGACCCAGCAGTCACGCAGTGGCCTCGGGTCACCGGGACACTGTTAATGTAGAATCCTGATAGATTTGAGTGTCCTGAAACGAGTTATGCAAATGTGATCTGTAATAACTATTATTATTAATCTAGAGTCCAAAAAGCCCTTGACATGCCGGGGGACAAGCGTATGTACAATGTACACGTTATGTAACTCATGCCATAGCTCCTCTCAACGATTATATTTATGGTAACCAACACCTTGCACAATAGAAATAAACAGAAAGAGAACCAAATTAATCCACAAAAAGTTGCAAAATACAGCGCTGCATATTGAAGTGAAGGCTTAAAGAGAACCGTGTGGTCCACTGGAGTCAGATAAAAAAACATCCATCGAATCGTTTCTCAGGCATCACATGCACTCAGCTAATTGTGTGTTCTTCTTTGTATCAGCATCCCGAGAGGCGGGCGCTGACTCCAATCAACTCCGTCTATCAGGCATCAATGTTTCAGAGCGCTGAAGCAGTGACCTTCCGTCTGTAATTAAACCTCCCCGACGGCACGAGCGCCTCGCCGCTATCTGATGAGCGATAGCGCAGGCGTTGCCCGCCCGTGAGCGCCGATATTGCCTCGTCTCGCCTCACCACACACAAGAGCGCCGAGGTTCATAGGCCAAACCCCGGCAGCTCACGTTGTACTGCAACTGACACCGTCGAGTCAAATCCTAACAATCTATGCTGCAATGCAACATGATTAAACTACTACCAGTGATCCTTCAACTAGTAAGTATTTTGAGTTTATCTCAGGCCCTTTATACTTGTGTGAAACTTAATGGTGCATAGTAGCGGTTAAATTTGTTACATAAGTAATCGACAAAGTAACTTGTCCATATAACACTCAGTCACGCTTTCAATTTCCATCTCCAAATAATCCACATAGTCACCATAAAGCACACGGCAAGCTAATTCAGAATCACCACCCTCTTACACAACATAAATGAACAGAGTAAATGAGTATAATGATGTGGAAAAAAAGAATCCACAAAGTCATCAAAACCGTCCACGGTGTGCCAAATAATGTATGGAGAGAACATTGGGTGTGGGCAATATACATGTCATATTTTTCATACGCAATAGAAATAAACCGATCTACCCGCACGGGTATTATGTGCAGGCTCAAAGTATAGTAAGTGACAGCGTCATACGATAATTGCGATTGTTCATCTTGACACATATTCATCCTTGTACAGTAGAAATAAACTCAAGAGTCAAAAAAGTACAAGGCACAACCCGGCCTTGTGCGTGTGCTTATGATTAACGTGATTGCTCCTCTCGCTGGTCAGTTATGACCCCCACAGAAAACAAGAAAAACACTTGAAATAATCCAAGCAGAGGTACATATACAGTATAAGCAATGTACTTCTCATAAAATGAATGCAATTGAATGTGTGTGTCATTTGTTTTTCAAAAAAAAGAAATTGTTTTGGCCCTAATGCAAATATCAGAATTAAGTAAAACACCCAAATCGCCCAGTATCTGTTTCATCCATTATGTATTGAACAAAATTGTAAATTTCAACATGAGGCATTTTCCGGTTTTTGGAACGAATATTGAGAAAATAAGTCATTGTTTTTATCTTTATGTTTGTTTGTTTTTTTGCTTGGAAAAACAACCTAAAAACCAAACAAATTAATGAATGACACACAGACTCATGCGCTCCTTTTATCCGCTACTTAATAACGGCCATTTGACAGAATGGAAATAAAACAGTACAACTTGCAATAATCCACGGACTCTAAAAATCCTTGTCACACGCGTGCATGTGTATAACAAACCTGATCATCCCTCTTGCCAGGAAACCACGATAACACCATTCTGCAGAATGGAAATAAACGCAACTGGAAATAATTCAAAGAGTTGGCGAAGAAAGTGTCTCACCGGGGAGTACATCACTTTCTATCGTGCCAAACTGCTTTGTTTCCAACACAGAAACATAAACTTGGAAGTCACCCACATACTGTAATATTTCAACTGTGCTACTTCATATTATTTTATGCGAATCCAATAGTTCAGTGACTTACAGCACCGCTGCGGTCCCTCTTTTGAAGAGATACTGTTTCAGAAATGAGAGAAGCGTCGGACTGGATCAACATCCTCTCTCCCCAGCCTGTGCGGAACTGCCTGCTTAGGTTAAGCTTCATCGTGAGGAAGACCTCCACATCCATGCCCCCCCCACCCCTCATCATCTGGAGCCTGTGCTGAACTGCATGCTTAGGTTAAGCTTCATCGTGAGGAAGCCCTCCACATCCATGCCCCCCCCACCCCTCATCATCTGGATGAGAAACAAGCTGGCTGGACTCCCACAAAACAGACCCCCCGGACAAGTCATGATACAGTAACCCCCCACTTCACACATACCCCAATTGAAACAAATACTGTATTGCGTGATACAAAATGATGGGAGAGCTGCAGAGTGGACTTTTGAAAAACTGGGAGACAGCTGTGTTGTGCAGGGGAGCGAGGCTAGCATGGCGGGTGGAAAAAACACAGTGGAAACAACAAAAGATTTAGCACCACCCAAAAAAAAAAAGATGGAAAAATTAAGATAGATAAAACGCACGCGTGGGGGTGGAGGGTGACCAAGGGAGCGCAGGGATGCTTACCTTGATTTTGTCAGGCAGATACTTGCATCTTTTTGTCTTCTTGGCAGCACATCGTATTAGAGAATGAAAGAAATAACAATAATAATAATAATTTATTATTATTATTATTCAAAAGTCAATTCTCCACCCAATACAGACGGATATGTACTCGCCGATTATGGAAAAATTAGGGGTTGGGGTGAAATGTGTGGAAATTAAATAAATTTAAAAAAAGCACCGTGTTGTTTAGCTAGCGTCAACCGTATCCGCCGCGTCGACGCCGTTCAAGCGAAAAGGAGGCGAGTAGAGAGGCGACGTCCTCATGGTTTTGCCGTCATTTGGTGGTGTTTGTTTGGTGTTTTTTTTTTTTTTTGGGGGGGGGGGGTCGGTCAAGGTAATAAAAAAGAAAGCGAAGGAAGGATGGAGGGATGCTCCTCTTCCTCTCTCCGGCAGGTTTCTCTGCTCCGCTTTCACTCACTACGGAAGCCTGAGGAGAGAGCAGTGAAAAAGAAAACCGCCTTTTGTCCTTTTTTTTTTAATTTATCCTTTCCTTTTATTTGGTATATGTACACTACTCAAACCCTGGCCATCATGCGTGCACATGATATTTTGGAATATCAGAAACTTGATATTAAACTATTAAAATATCGGATGGAATTCAAGGGAACAAATGTGATTATTCAAAAAAGAAATCTATCGATTTAAAATAAATAGTAGTAAAACTACTTTTACGGCGAGAGAAATATATTAGTAATCAAAATGTATCAACATGATGAAGGAAGGGAACATAATGAAGACAGCCATTATCAGGAGGAGCACAATTTTTTTGGGGGGAGACTGTTAGTAAAAGCTCAACATTGAGGGAGCTGCAGGAATTTACTGTCTTCTTTATCCTTCGGTATGGTTTCTGTGGTAGGATGGCAGGATGGAAGCAAAACATCCAAGATCTGTTTTATTTTCAAAAGCACACTTGAAATCTCCCCCAAAACATGGGAAAATGTGTTATCGTCGACAATCAAGGTTGGACTTTTTGACAATAATTCTAAAAGGTATGCTAAGGTGCAAACATAAAAATATCATAGCAACACAGATTGCATAGTGGGGGCTTAAGCGTTGTTTTTGATTAAGAGTAAGTGAACAGTTCCAAATAGTAGTCAGAGTTAGACAAATCCTTCAAGCCTCTCCTCGAAAGCAAAAAATAATAATAAAATAAAATATCAAAACACCCCTACGAGCACATCTTGACTTTGCTTTGTTTATTAGACACTATAAATGGCGGTGATGAGCTTCCCATTGCGTTTGAATACAAAATTGCAAACAGCCACATCCTCAGTTTCAGTTTAAAAAAAAAAAAAAACATGACCTCGGTTCAGATATTTTTGGTTCCCCTCTCAAAGATATTTTCAATAGAATGTGCAGGTTACATTATTGGCGAAAAACGGTCTTACAAAAACCTGAACAGGGGGGTGTAAACTGTCCATATCAACTGCAGATATACACAGCAGGTAGGGAGAGCTCCATCGGTGGGGAGAGAGCTCTAATTTAAATATAGAAGTTTTTTTAGGGGGTAAATGAACGTAGCCGCAATGGCGTACAGTTGAGCCAACATCAGCACGAGTATGTTGTAGTTGCGCCATCTACAGGATAGGGGATATCACTGCAGATTTTGGCTGATGCCTCGTGCAGCAGAGTGCAACGTAATTGGATGGTTTTATTTTACACCCACAGACATTTATGAGGACACGATGAACTGTTTCTTATTTTTATTGGACATTGACTTTCTTGTCACCATCACATCAACATAACTACATACACACACACACGCGCGCGCGCGAGCTCGCACACACACTCACGCCCAGAGTACCAACTGAACAAAATATGGAGTGTTGGTACACAAATTGCTTCCACGTTAATCATGTCAGGAGGGGGTGGAATCACATTTGGAACATTTATGACAATGACAATTAAATCCACTTTAATCGTCTTTCACAACTTCAGGATAATTTACAAGGAGGAGATTCGTCGTTTGGTTAGCCTAGTCTGTCAGATTGATATCGTACATACAGCATTTCACCTACAAGCTTGCGCAATTAAGCTTTGCCCAATTAAGGAATGATAGAATTACTAGAAACGAGGACACGAACGGTGCTTAAAAAAATGAGAAAAAAACCCAATAGACATTCATAAGGAAGAAAAAAACAATTAAAAGTAGTTCTACATTTCAATTTTACACAATTTATTTGTACATGGTCATCTGGAATCTAGTTCATATTCACATTTCTGTCTGCTTCTGATGATTCAGGCTCATTTATGTGAATTCACAAGTGGTCCACACCTTGGAATGAGCCAATAATGTCCGATTTCCTCTTTCATTTCAAGCATGGCACCGTAAGACTTTTTTGTGTGTCCAGTCATGATGAAAATGTCCACCTAATTTCTCACTGATTGGTGACATTGGTGTCTCGGGTGAAATACTCTTAACTTTTTAGGAGGCACAACTGAGTAAGCAGGTCTCTGACAGACCAGGAAACAGCAATGAAAACAATGCTAAGCAAGCTCATGCTTCACAGGAGGAAAAAAAAAAACATACACGCATCCAAAACAAACACACACACAATATGTTCAAATACTCCATTGTCATTTTAACCATCATTCATAAAGAGTGTGAAGAAACAGTGATTCTTCGTGAAATGACAATTCAAGACAATACACGGCAAATAGAACATTTAAATAATTTACGGTGTATTATTTACACATCTTATTTTTCCAGCGGTGTTGTCATCTTCCTCTTGTCCTCTTCTAGTCGCCCATCTTTACCTTTGACGTCTTCAGGGGAGAAGAAACATACAAGTGTCAAAACGCTTGCATACTTTTCATTTTCTATTCAGTTTTGACCTGGAGTAAGACAATCCGATAACAGTACAATTATTCACTTTGTGAGTACCCACCGATAAAGAGTACCGATACTTCAAGTACTTTTGTGATACATACACTTTAATTGAACACAATAACAAAACTTCTCTTTCTGAAGCAGATGATTTGCCAACTGTTGCAGTATAGCGCCAACTACTGTCGAGGAGGACCTAATGTCGGATTTAGAGGGGGGGTTTTTGCCTCAAGTATTGGTGGCTGGTATCGTAATATTCAACAACTACATGATACCCAAGGCTGGTGTCAGTCCAATATGTGATACGCACTTAGCGCTACTTCATTTTCACAGAAAAGGGAATGGTATTTTTTTTTACAGGTGAATTCCTTGCGCCTGTGTCATGGCAACCTCTGACTTGTGTTCCATATGCTTTATGCTATTCTTAAGATGTTTTTCTTTTTCAAGATTCCCCCACGAACCAATCACAAACCAACATGTGCATGCACAAATGTGGTGGATATACAGAGAGTTCAAGCTCCCCCTCGATCTCTTACTACTTTGTTCTCATTAACAATTAAGACGCGTACCGTTTGACAATTTTAAGTTTCCCACCTTTACCACAATTTTCTGAGATTTAACACACACTGCTAAAAATACATTTTCATACTGTAGACATGAGTCAAATATGACTCAAACACTATCTAAATACATCCCGATTCCAAGTCAATGTCACAGTGGCGTTGCTCACCTGCAGGATGGCCACAATCACGCCAAAGAGGCCGATGGCGCTGCCGAAAATCTCCACGATGAGGATCTTGACGAAGAGGCTGGCGTTCTGAGCGTCGGCCAGCGCCGCCCCGCTGCCAACGATGCCCACGCAGATGCCGCAGAAAAGGTTGGAGAAGCCCACCGTTAGGCCTGCACCGAACATGGAGTAGCCTGCTCACACGCAAAAAGACAACACGGCTTGTTGGCGTCATGGGACTGATGAAAATGGGATGCCCTGTGAGTCACTTTGATTTCAGAGCCGCTATTCTGTCACCCGTTCGGTTGGATGGCTCTTACCGGCTTGGTAGTTCCTTGCACCGATGGTCTCTGGAGTTGTTCCACTGAAGTTCTGCAAGATTAAAGAAAGTATTTTAGAATCTTGTTTAGATAGCTAAATGATATATTTTAGATTATATCATGTAAAAAGTGGAATCTGAAGTTTACCTCAGCCATGTTACTGATGACAATGGCCATGATGATGCCATAGATTGCGACAGCTTCACAGAAAATGATGCTAGGCAAGACAATCAAAAAATGTTGAATTAATAGCTGAAAAGTTCAAAAAAAACTTTTTGGAAAAGCTTCATGTAAAAATAATTTTTAAAACGAATTTATATGAGCTAGACATCAATTTTTCATACATGGCAATGGCGAGTGATGAAAAAAGCGGAAAGGGGCGTGGCCTGGACGGGGCGTGGCCTGGAAGGGGGCGTGGTTACTTACAAAAGTGGCACTAAACATGCTGAAGATGAAGTGTATTAAATTTACACAGTTTGAAAATTGAACAGAAAAAAATCCCAAGATCGCCACTATTCTTTCAAGTGAAAATTTGTTCAATTTTGCCTATGCATTCCTGGTGAGCACCAATATGTAACTCCAAATTTGCTGCTCAAAATCAAAACTAAAAAAGTAAACACATTCCCTGCCATATTTAAGATTTGTTCATGACTTGTA